GTTCATGGAAGAACTGAATTAAAAGATGATGGGTTCTTTTTCATAACCATTTAGAAGGACTCTTGTAGTACATATGTATGTATGTGTGTGTGTGTGTGTGTATATATATATATATTGCAAGCTGAATATCAAATTATATACTGAATTGTTAAATATGGGGTTTCCTAGTAAAATATATAAAACCTATTTCAGAAATATGATTTCAAATGTTTTTGTCTATTATACAACACCCCACTCAACTGCTGCCTGTTTCTCCCCACGTGAATCCTAGTAGACCGTTCTCCTAGGCACAGTGGCATTCCAGTGACTGGTATGTGACCCATATCGGACCAAGTAGAGTCATTTCTAACAGCTTTCTCTCTAGTTGGGTGCCAAGGATATAAGAATGAGCACCTAAGACTCTTACAGCAATCAATTTAGTTTCTCAGAGACACATAGCCTGAGGATAAAGAGAACATATGGATGGGTGGGGGGAGCAGATAGGTGACAGTGTTCAAACCCCTAGATCCGTATCCCCGAGGTCAGCACCACCTCTACCTTTTCTGTAGTTTCCCTCAGTGAAACAATGTCTTTTCCCCTTTACTTAAGTTAATCCTACTTTGATTCTTTTGACTTAGAAGTAATGAGTCTTCAGGTAATTGATTTGTAATTGTTCCCATTTTGGTTAGGTTACAGTTCTTGTGGGTTTCCAAGACCAAGTGTTGACAGGAGTAGAAAGCCACATTGTTCTGCCAGGAAGCTGGTGGATTTGAACTGCTGACCTTGAGCAGCTCACTGCTCCCTAAGCCACAAGGACTCTTTGTCATATTAAATTTAAACAGTCATAAAAACATGTACACGATCTAGAAGCCCATGGGGCAATTCTTCTCTGTGACATTGGGTGGGTATGGGTCATAATCTATTGGGTAACACCTAACAGGTAATCGACAGCCACATGCGGAATGAACTGAAACAGACGACTTTGGATGCAGAAAGTCCTTCCCTAAATTTAGATCAGCTGGACTTACCTACTTTCTACATTTTTGGTAGTGGTTTTGTTCACAATTTCCTCTTATGATAAGGGAACTACAACGCTCCCAGGAGACACTGGACACAAGCCTTACCTACAGGTGCGAGGTTGATAACGTAGCCATCACCCAAGTACAGTGCCCAGTGCTGATAGCCAGGACGAAACACCTCGATCAAGTCCCCCAGTTTGGGCTTGCCAGGATAGGTCACACTAAAGCAATCACTCAGCGCCATCTGCAATGACAGACACAAAAAAGATCCAATGGATAAAACTTGTCAGAAGCGATTTAAAACCAAAACTCAATGGTGATTCATAGTGACCCAATAGGACATGGTAGAATCACCCTTGTGGGTTTCCAAGACTGTAACTCTTTATGGGAGTCGAAAACCCTGTCATTCTCCTGTAAAGCAGCTGCCGGCAGCCCAACTTGTAACTACTGTGCCACCAAATGTGAACGCCCCAGGGAAGCACAGTGGTTGGTATCGTATTTACTAAGATTGCGTGCCTTATTAGTGATGTGGACTCAGAACGTCACCCTCCCCTTGAAGGATTCCAACACTGGATTATGTTTGGGCAAGGTGGCACAGGTGGAAACAGAATCACCTGTTATGGCTTACTTTTCTCTAACAGCATTTCTCATCCTGAGCAATGCCAGCACCCCTTTGTTACAACAAGAAATTTATAATTCTCTTTAAATTCAGAAATTTCTGACACATAAATATACCATATTTGTAACAGAAAGAAGAAATCAAAGTAAATTTATAATAATATGCTTTATTATGCAAATGTTCAGGGTATGACTATATTAAGTGGCATTATAAAATATCTACATGTTGCATTTATTTAGCATGTGTTTTAGGGTACAAAATAGACCCCAAATCACAAATATAATTTAAGGAGAACCTTTTTTTAAGTCTTAAATGGGACAAAGACAAAAAGGCATCATCTGAATAAGGGAGACCATTAGCACGAGGTCATAATGGTGTCCCAGCGTTGGTTGAGATACAGAGCTTTAAAAAGGACTCGGGAGGGCAAAGGAACCTGTCGCGAAAAGCATGCTTGGCAGCAGGTCAATATAACATGGTTCTAGGTAGACCTGCAGATGCAGGAATGAAACAGTGATTGTGGCACATGTATTTATAGTACACAGAAATGCTTACAAGAGTGCCCAGGGCTTTCCAACCAAGGCAGTCAGGGGCATGATTCATAAGGCATGCCTCATGACTAAGACACTCAGAGTGATCTCCATTAAGGATACACCCAGGCAAACCCATCCTGGGCAGGTTGGAGAGGTAATCCATTGTCCAATGTAGTCGGCCTGAGGGCAAGATGACTCACTTTACTGGAAAATGATCAGAAGGAATTCAATGGAGGATTAAGATCTATGGAGGGACTCTGCCAGTGGATTGGGACTTTTACTGTCAACCATAGCTTTCTGCAAATGGGGTGCTCGGAATTTAAGCTCTAATACACAAGAAAAGTCAGGATACAGGAGAAAACCAGAAATCATCCATACAGCAGCACAATAAATTGAAATTATAGAGGAATGGTGGATGTTAATACACTATGAAAATCTAAACTATATGAAAGTATCTTACAAAACACAGTCTGCCATTCTAATAGCAAGAGGTCCTGTGTTCAGATGAATATGTAGCCAGATATTCAGCCATAATATGGGCTAGGGGCATTTCGTGCTTGTTCAGAACTGCGCTGTACATTTCAGCATGTCCTTGTAACTAAAACAACCACAAATGCCCCCACAGATTTGTACCAGTTCCCTGAATGTCTGTGGTAATAATTTCTTTTAGAAGAATAACAGAGTAGTCCCAAGAAGGTGGACATTAAAGATGGCCCAAATGTCAAATTTTCCCAAGCTGTTATTTGGCTCCATTTTCCCCTACATTAAGGGAATACCAGCACTTCTCCCCTTTGCTCCCTCTTGTCCCTGGATTCTGAAATTCACTATAACAACTCGCAGAAGTCCTGAAGCTTTAAAGCAATGGTTCACCTGGTTGAAGGTGCTTCTATGCCCCAAATCCAAAGTTCAGCTGTTTTCCTTGAGGATCCTCCTCACTCATAAGGCTAAGGATGCTGGTGAAACTCAGGTCCCCCAAACCAGAAGTCAGGCAGAGGTCAGCCAACTTCAGAGTCCAGAGCCAGAGCCAAAACTGTCCTAGAGTCAAAGCAGGTCTGCAGCTTGGACAAAAGCCCACTCAGGAGGCAGAGGTCACAAAAGAGAAGGCCTTCATGGAGGTGTGGCTTCCTCTTCAGCCGCCCATACCCTCAAGGAAAGGATCTGCTTCTAATACAGTGAAGACTCCAGACCAGATTCCACCTTAATCCTGACCATTCCCCTTGCAGAACCTCCTCCAAAATGGGATTCCAGCCACAGGCACAGAGGCTAGAATTTATAATCCATCACCAAGGAGATGATGGATAGAAGGACCATCTCAATATCTCACACACTGTCAGCTTCCTCACTTCCTGCTCCTAGAAATGGGGCAAGGTAGTCCACAAAACTGGCACAACTTCAAAGGTGCCAATATCCTAAGGATGCACGTGTCTGAACATTCTAAATGTGATGGATTTGGAGGAGGGTTTCTCGTTTGCTTTCCCCCGTTTGAAATCAGTACTTTACAGAGAGAACATATCCTTTTCTGATAGCACAGTCCTATGGAGACTTGCCTTTCCTATGCATGACATTTCAGTAGAGAGATTTAGAAAGAGAGAGCTATGCGGATCTATAAACAATCAAAAGCTATATCCATGTTGAATCTCTGACAACAGTGTTCTCCATAATCTCCAACTCCAATGCAGACATGTGCACTCATTTACAAAATAAACTCAAGTCTCAGAAGCAGAAACTTCCAAATTGTCCAAATTATAATGATAAGACTACTGGCTCAGGGGTTGGGAGTATAGACTTATCATTTCTCTGGCACCTTGACAGTCATTTTTACAAGAATTAATATTGGGAGGGTGTGGTTCCCAGTACCCGTGTGCCATCTGTGGAAGCTTCAATTATCACACTGTCACAGAGACATGGCCAAATGTAAGCTGTCCATCTGTTGAAAAATAGCTACTAAAAAAACTTTATGGAAATCATCATGTCTCACCACCCTCTCAAATATGTTTGATTCTTATTAGTATATCATTTGGCCATGTGGGCACTAAAAAGAAAAATAGATAATATACTGTGATGCAAACCGACACATTTCCCATGAATAGGAATCTACAAGCACACACAGCTGCCTGATAGAGTTCTGTGACCTCGCCGAGCATTCAGTAATAACTACCATTTGAACATAGAGTACTTGGTAGTGAAACTTTTTTTGTTTTCAAATCTACTACCTCAATTAACCCTACTTAATAAGAATAAAAACTCACAATTATTTCAGTTAACTAATAGGTTATCATTGTTTTTTACAGATTAAAAGCTATACTGGCAAATGTCAATTTTTGGAACATGCTCACTGAAGCCATAATGCTATAAAATGTGGAGTGAGAAAAATGACTGAATTGGGTGATGCGAACTCCTGTCTTCTGCTTGCTTGTTCTGCAAGTTAGAGGAAGTCACTTAAATTATCTAGGGCTCAGTTACCAGAGCCCTGGCTGCACAGTGGTTACAAGTTGGGCTGTGAGACTCAAGGTCTGCAGTTTGAATCCACCAGTCGCTCCACAGGAGAAAGACAGGGTACTACTTCCATAGACAGTTATGGTCTCAGACACTCACAGGGGAGTCCTATAGCATAGGGTTGCTATGAGTTAGCATCGACTCCACGGCAGTGAGTTTGGTTTAGGGTTTGGGCAGTGACTTGTGGTCCAGGTAAACCTCCCATCTTCCGTGTGAGAGATCTGGATTCAATTCCTTGCTAATGTTCCTCATGCACCACCACTACCTGACTGTCATTCGTAGCTTGTATTTGCTCTGATGCCACACACGTTTCTGCTGAGACCCAGAGAAAGATAGGCTACAAAGTAGGCATAGCGATCTACTTCAAAAAAATCAACCATTGATATCTAGGATCATAAAAAGTGTGATCCCATTGGGTATAGGATCACTAGGATTAGGGGCTGACTTGAAAGCAGAAAACAGCAAGATGGGAATAAGAATATGAGGCCAAATTATCCATCTCAAAAAGCCTTTGAAAATAACCCTTTATGGCTCGGCTCACTCCCTTGGAGATGCTCTACTGACAAGACACATTGTGCTACCCTGATAGAGCTCATGCCCTGGAAGCTGAAGGAATCATGTGGAGACCCTGGCCAGTGCTGAGATGCCTCTACCACCACTGGATCCACAAGACTTTGCATCCACTAGCCTGTGATCTTCCTGCATTCGGTGTCATCACATGTATTTCGTTAGTCTGAAGAGGACTTTATAGATTGGTATCAGACATATGGGCTAATATCAGACTTAGGGACTTGAAAAAAAAAGAAAGAAAATAACCCTTTATGAAGTGAAAGGGGTTGCAAGGACTTTGTAAACTGGCAAGAACTACACAGGCGGATGTGTGGCTTTAGTTTCTTATTTTTCACTCAACCACAATAATCCTGTAAAATATATAAAGATTCAACTGAAAAATGTTAATACATACAGCACATTTTCAGTTTCTGACATATAGTTCATGAACTAATTTATGAAAGATAAATTCACTGATTTCAAGCTTTGGAAAAACTCTGGTGGCATAATGGTTACTCATTGGGCTGCTAACTACAAAGTCTGAAGTTCAAAACCACAAGTTGCACGCCCTGAGAAAGATGGTGCTTTTTACTCCCAAAAAGAGTTACAGTCTCAGAAACACACACAGGGGCAATTCTACTCTCCTTTATAGGGTCACTATGAGTCATCATCAACTAGATGGCAATGAGTTTGGTTAGAAGATGAACGAAAGACATGAATAACTGTTCACTAAAGAAGATATACCCACCCCCCCAAAACGAAAATAGAACCCAAACTCACTGCCATCAATCATGCTGGACTCATAGTAACACTACAAGACAGAGTGGAATTCCCCTATGTTGTTCTGAGACTGTAAATCTTTACAGGAGTAGGAAGCCTCATATTTTCTCTGCAAAAGAAGACATACAGATGGAAAAAAGAAAGAAAAGAAAAAGCCCATCTGGAAAAATATCCAAAACTATCTATCATCTGAGAAATGTAAATTAACGTCAAAATAAGGTATCATTACACACTTATCAGGATGTCTGAAATAAAAATTATTGTCAACTT